GCAGACCGGTGACGCCCCACCCAGAACCGTGACACATGTATATGCATTTTTGGGGTTCATATTCTAAGATAACTCCATAATTACAAAATCTTGTCTCATGTTCCCAGTATGTATTTATACCAATTAGTGTTTTTGTACCTTGATGTGGTCTTGGTCGCTTTGGCTGCTATAAAATACAACTGAATGTTGTCACACGGGACTTACTCCACTTTGATACATCTCTAGCCCGCAAGCTGTTGGAAAAGGTCTCTGCCTTATTTGGGCTTTACATTCTGGACTCAAGACCATTAGAGCTTCTACCCCATGTTACAGCTTCTTCCACTCACCCAAGGGATAGACTTGGCAGAAGTTTGCCATTCACGGTCATGTGGTGGGTGTGATGTGCTTTTTTTGCCCACAGTTACTTGCTCTAAGCCATTCAGATAACCATTCTCTTGGGGACTCACAGGGCCTTCTGTTCCCATAGGCCATCCCCAGTCTTTTTTTTTCTTTTTTGGGTTACACCTGGTTCTACACTCAGGAATTACTCCTGGTTGTGCTCAGGGGACCATATGGGATGCTGGGAATTAAACCCAGGTCGGCTGCGTGCAAGGCAAACGCCCTACCCACTGTGTTATTGCTCCAGCCCTGCCATCCCCATTCTTACTTGCCCTCCGACACCAGTGTTTGCAACACTCCGTCTTGTGTCACCAGGTCCCCTGGGAGCTGTAGTGGGTTTTATTTATTTATTTTATTTTATTTTGCATTTTGGGTCACACCAGGCAATGCTCAGGGGTTACTCCTGGTCTGCATTCAGGATTTACTCCTGGCGGTGCTTGGGGGACCATATGGGATGCTGGGAATCGAACCTGAGTCGGCCACGTGCAAGGCAGACGCTCTACCTGCTGTGCTATCACTCCATCCCCATGTAGTGTTCATTTTGATAGCAAGGTCTCATATGCTTCCTTTGTGAGGAAGCAACAAATTTTATGTCCTTCCTTTGTTGGGCACAAGTGGGATTGCTAGGGGCCCTGATTTGGACTTCTTAGGGACACGGGGCCGAGACTTTTGGACTGAAAGGAGCAGGTCATTTTGGATATGGGGCAGTCATTCCAGGGGCTATTCTTTCCCACAGCAGGGATAACAAACACAAGGGCACAGACAGGTTGTATAGATTTATCAAGAAGTATGACTAATAGAATTGTGAAGAGCTAGCATTTCCCAGTCCACTAGAGGTCAAACCACATTTACAGTGTGAGATGCTCAGAGAGGCCAGTGGAGTCTACTGGACTTGTTCAAGTTGTCCCCTCACTACCCCCGACAGAGCTTGGGAGGCCCCCATAAAGAAAATTTGGGAAATGTACAGAATGCAATTCCTATCTAACTTCCAGTGAGGTCTTTTGTAGACGTAGAATAGGGAAACTGTAAGGCCAGGTAGGTGACTCACAGGGTTGGAGGGCAAGCTTTGCATGTGGGAGCCTCAGTGGTCCTCAAGCATGTTTTAAAATGCAAATTAAAATAACAAAAAGTTATCACACATCTGTCAAAATGGCTGTAATAAAAATGAACACCAGGACTGAAGCAATAGTATAACGGTCAGGGCACTTGGGTTGCATGTGGCCAAACCAGGCTCCATCTGGGAGGGCCATGTGATACCCCAAGCCCCTCCAGAAGTGATCTCTGAGCTCAGAGTCAGGAGTAAGCCCTGAGCACTGCTGGAAAAACAAACAAAAAGCACCAGAGTCTGGTAGGAATGTGGAGAAACTGGTTCACAAGCAAATTTGAAAAGAGTGGCAGTTTCTGGCAATGTTAAACATGTGCTTGATTACTGGATGGGCGTGTGATTGCACTCAGGCACTTACTCCAGAGAAACGAAGACTCAGACGCGTCACACTACTGGTGACTGTTGTAGATTGCTCGAGGCAACTTTATTTTTTTGTTTTTAGGGGGCACCCGGCTAAGCTGTGCTCAGGTTTACTCCTCCCTCCTCATTCCGGTTACTCTTGGCTCTCTCTACTGCATAGGTCTCCCTCTCCATCTCAGACCCGGGACTGCTCTCTGCATCTCTCTTTATCCTTAAACTCTTAGGTTGCTGCCACTCGTCTCTGCGGCACTGTTTTACCCTCTCTTAGTCTCTTTCTTATCGATTCCTCTTATCTCCGTTGCTTCCCGTGGTCCCGCTTAGTTCTTTCTTGCACTTTCCCTCCCCGTTTGCCCTGTTGCTATGGTAGCTACGGTGCGGCAGGCGTGGGCAGCGCCGCCTCTGATTGGCTGTCTGCCCTGCCAGTGCAGCTCGCCCTGCCCTTCCTATGCATTGTGGGAGTTGGGGTCGTGGGCTGTGTGTGGTGCACAAGAGCGCTCAGTTGTCCGCCATCGCGCCGAGCCCACGGCTGAACCGAGGTTGACGCAGTGGTGTGCAGCGACCGAGCTTCCAGTCATCATGCTGTGAGCTGCGCCAGCATCTTCTTTTGGCGTTCGGGGAGGAGCAGAGGAAGAGAAATCCTTGAAGTGGGAAGAGGCGACGGGAAGTTCCCGGGGTGCGGGAGGAGGCGGGGCGGGGACTGGGAGGGTCAAGGCGCTTCTGTAGAGGAGAAGCAGATACAGAGATGTGGAATGCAGGTGCAGGGATCCGGGATGCAGAGCCAGGCTCGGGAGAGAAGTGGCCATAGTGGGGGTAACAGGGACGGGCGCCCCTAGTGTGACCTGAGGGGGTTTGCCTCTAATGTGACATTTGGCTCGGGTGTGGGGCACCCCTACTGCGAGATCCGGGGCATGTGTGGGCTGGGGTGAGTCCGGGCTCTGCTCCTGCCCGGGAACGAGGGTGCCTTTCCTGGAAGAGGGTTCTGCGGGCTGGAGCGCGCCGGGCATGCGCAAGGCACAGGGTCTGGTCTCTGTCCTGCGCTGTGGCCCTTATGGCTGAGTCCGAACCATATCATGAAGAGTGGTGGTCCTGAAGGGGGCAGATACAGATACAGATGCTTTCGTAGAACTGGCACCACTGAGGGTTTTTCAGATGGCTTTTTGAAAAAAAAATTTTTTTTTTAATGATAGAGCAGTCTTAAAGCAAGGCCATAGAGGGCTAGAGAGTGGGGTGTTAGTGCCCACTGCAGAACCGACTGTGAAGGCTGAGATGAGCAGTGCTGAGAGAGCGGGGCAGAGGGCAGTGTCTCGGAGCCCTGACCTCCTGGCTTTTGCCAATCAGTGTGCCCAGTGTTTACTGAGAGTTGGGCTGTTTCTCTTCCTAATTGTCCTCGGTTGAAACTGAACCGATGAGAGAGCAGTTTCTCCCCTGTGTCCCCACCCTGGTAGGCCTCAGCCTTCCGCTGAACCCTACAGTGGCTTCTGCAGGACAGGACCATCCTAACACTGGGCTCGCACATCTCTCATCTGCTTTGGAGGAGGCCATATAGTTAACCTTTCTATGTTGTTGGAAATTGAATTCCCTGTGTGTTTTGTACTGTTAGACTTTGAATTTTGGGGGCAAGAGAGGTAACTCAGTGGGCTGAGCACATACTAGGTTCTCTCCCTGGTACATCATGGTCTCTGAACACTGGGGTGTGTGTTGCAGAAAAAAAAAGGTTTTGAGATAAGCAAATCTGGTGATGGTAGAATGAATATACATTGTTGGAAAGCCTGGAGAGATAGAGGGGAAGACACCTTGTGGAAAGCCTGGAGAGAGTAGAGGGGAAGACACCTTGCATGCACTCCACCTGTGTTTGATCCCTGGCATCCCATATAGACCCCTGAGTCCTACCAGGAGGAAGCCCTGAGCACTGCCAGATGTAGCTCAAAAAATAAAAATAAACGAACATACATAACTAGGATGAGTTTGCTAATGCTTTAAGATTTTTACATCTGGGCTAGAGCGATAATATGGAATTTCCCTTGCACACAGCCCACCCCAGTTTGATCAGCAACCCACAGGGTCCCCAGAGCATTTCCAGGAGTGATTCATGAGCACAGAGCCAGGGGCAGGTCCTGAGCACTGTTGGGTATGGTCTAAAACCCTATATATTACATCTTTGTTAGTTCATACTATAATTTCCCTCCTTTTATATGACTGGATTTTTTGCATATATGTGGTTCCAAGGATCAAGCCCCAGGACCTCAAGCTTCACATAAGCCAGATACATTCTCTGCTACTGTGCAGTATCCCTCATTCCTAAAATTTCTTGGGGGGACAGAATGAACCACACCCAACAGTACACAGGACTTACTCCTATTCTGTGTTCGCGGGGGGTCATTCCTGTCAGGGCTTGGGTGCCATGTGTGGTACCCCAAGAGATCCTGGGTCAGCTGTGTTCAAGGCACATATCTCCTCTGCTATTTTCTCCAGCCCCTTGAATTTTTTTTTCTTTTTGGTCACACCCAGCGATGCTCAGGGGTTACTCCTGGCTCTGCACTCAGAAATTATTCCTGGCGGTGCTGGGAGAATCATATAGGATGCCCGGGATCGAACCCGGGTCTGCCATGTGCAAGGCAAATACCCTACCCACTCTACTATAGCTCCTGCACCCCCACCTTGAATTTTTTTAAGCCTAATAATATTCTTATAAAATGAGCTTCATCGCCTTTTTTTTTTTTTTTGGCCACACCTGGTAATGCTCAGGGGTTGTTCCTGACTCTACACTCAGGAATCACTCCCAGTAGTGTTCTGGGGACCATATGGGATGCCGGGAATTGAACCCGGATCAGTTGCATTTAAGGCAGGCACCCAACCTACTCTTGTCCTCACTTCATCTCCCTTTTATTTTTGTGTGAGAAAACCTTACTAAAATTTTTTTCAGTGCTGAGCTCAAACACAGAGCCTTATACTTGTAAGGCAAGTTCTCTTCTGCTGATGACTTCAAAATAATTCTGCATGGGCAATAATCCTTCATGGGCTCTGGCTGTGGTGGGACTGATGGATCAGAGGCTCTGTGAGTTTGGGCATGGTGCCCAGCCCTGGTTCTCACCTTGTGACTTTCTTCCTGTCCTCTGTAGGCCTGGACTCTGACTGACATTCTGTCATCCAATTCCACAGAACCGTAATTCGGTGAGCTCATCCTTGACAATTCACATTCTGCCACTGACTAGGGGCAGTCCCATTTCCTGCCGCAATTTGGGAAGATGCTGCCTCTGGAGAAAATATCTGCTCCCCGGAATGTCCCCACTCCCCTGGAACTGTGCTCACTGGGCTTGGCCGCTGAGGACCCGCAGGCGGATTCTGAGACTGTCTCTGGGAGGACTGCCGCAGATGTCGAGTTTTCCCGTCTGCATTTCAGAAACTTCACCTACCCAGAGGCAGCTGGGCCCTTCCAGGCCCTTGATCAGCTCTGGGTGCTGTGCTGCCACTGGTTGCAGCCAGAGACATACTCCAAAGAGCAGCTGCTGGAGCAGCTGGTGCTAGAGCAGTTCCTGAGTGTTCTGCCCAGCCACATCCGGCCATGGGTAGTGGCACAGCATCCTGAGAGCTGCAGGAAGGCAGCCTCCCTGGTGGATGACTTCCTCAAGTCTCTAGAAGAGCCAGGTGAGGCTCCACCCCAGCAAACAGGCCCGGTGGGTGGAAAGTGGCCTAAAGCTGCAACCCTCAGGGCTTTCCTAACAATGCTGTTTCCTGTGGAAGGTTCAGGTGGTAATAGTGACAAGCTGGTGCAGTAACTCCTACAGCAGTCTTACCTAGTGCCCTCCCTCTCAGGCATCTACATGCGCCAGGAAAACTCTAGGGGGGTAATGCCCTCATATCTGGAAAGGTACAAGAAACTGGAAAGTACTTTTAAATGGAAATGGACTGGAGGACAGCATAGTGGGTAGGTTTCTTGCCTTGCATACGGCTGGCCTGGGTTCAATCAATGCCTGGGCATTGCATATGGTCCCCTGAGTCCCTCCATTGAGCAGGGCCAGGAGTTTGGAGCACCACTGACAGCCTACCCCACCCCCGTCCTGCAAAAAAAAAAGTCAGTGTCCTGGGCATATGTTTATGTTCTCTCAGGATGGGAAGAAGTAGGTGATCTTGTAAGTGTCTCAGCCACTTGGGCTCACTTTCTACTGAGGTGTAGACAGATACTGTTGCGTTCTCCTGGGGCCACTTGTAGATCTTCGTATGCATATATGTGTGTGCAGAATACTGAACCTTTGCTGTCTGCCATGACCAGATGGGCAGTGAGAGCCAGGGGATACATAGGAGACTTCCAGAATTTAAGAATGAGCAGCCTGCCTTTGGGTGAGGGCGGCAGGCACTGGGTAGGTGGCAGCCCAGTCTGGTGAACAGCTGTCCTCTTGACTGATTATCTGAGGCAGGCTGACATGGGCTTGTGATGTATGTTGAGTCATGCATGACCTTTCCACTCCCTGGTATCCCCTGAAGGTAGAACCACATGGTATCTTGCTGCTTTCTACATGGCCTATACTCTGTACACCTCACCCACAGCCTGGGCAGAAAGCTTATGGCTGGTTCCTGGAGGTGGCATGCATATCCTAATTCCTGCTGTGTGCATTGCAGGCCCTGGCATAACCAGGCCTTCAGTGGGGCCCAGTGTTCATCAGTTTTTGCCCTTCCTTGGCAAGGCAGCATCTGCCCTGCCTTGTTCAGACCTTTCTCAGCTGATCCATGGGGGGCCCCATCCCTTTCCCTAGCGCACCTGTCTCTAGTAAGGTTCTGTTGGCAGTCGGTGAGGACAAATGTGCTCTCTGCTGTGACTCACAATCTTTGGTGCCTCTGCTGAACTTGAGCAAGAGTCTTGCCTAGCTACCATCATTGGGGCAGATGTGTTGTATCTGACCATAGCACCTGGGCTTCTCTGCTTTAAGTTGGAACAGGCTGTTCTCCTCGGGAGGCGGCAGCATCCCCTGCCAGGTTTCAGGGCACCCAGCCATGCGGAATTGCTCTCAGCTTTACCTTCCCTCCCCAGCCCGTCCCACACCAGGTATCGCCATGCTTCCAGAGCAGGGATACATCGAGGATCAGATGAGCGAGGCGAGGCCCACAGCCGCTGAGCCAAAGGTGGGTGCAGCTACATGTTCTGATCCTCTTTTGCAGTGTGAGGGAGACACGGGGTCCCACACTGCCATCCAGGGGTATTGGTCTGACTAGGGAGACCCCACACTGCTACCTGGGGGTGCTCACCTGATTGGGGAGTCCCACAATGCCGCCCAGGGATGCTGACCTGACCTCCAGGCCCCTCAACCGCGTCTGGTGCTCCTTCCCACCCACAGGGATGCTAGCCTGCAGCAGTAGCTTCTGCTGTCATCTCTCTCCTGCCACTGATCCTCTCCCTCTGCCCCACTCCCCCAGCCCCACACCCAAGCTCCTTGCTTCTGGGACATATGACCTTTGTCACAGGGTCCATGTAGATGCCTGTCCTGGTCCTGTGTCCACCCCTCTACTTGTCCAGATCCCCTATGCAGGGTGGGCAGGAGTGGCCTCAGAGGCCTTGCCTCTCTGGAGACTATTCAGTTATATTTAGGAACAGCTTCCGTTGTCAGCATCACCTTGGGGGCTGGGGTGGGGGCTGGCACTGAGGAAGAATAGGGAAGCCAGTGCTTCATGCTTCTCACCAAGCAGGCTGAGAGCTTCCCAGGTTAGGCCCTGGGAAAATGGTAGGTTCGAGGCATGAGCCCTAGGAGGTGCCACCTCAGGCATGCTTGATGGGAAGTGCTCACAGGGTCTACGCTGCAGTTGCAGAAGCTAAAGTTTGCAGAGGCGCCTCTGTGTGAGGAGGAGTGGGGCCATCTGGACCCGGCTGTGGAGAACCTAAAGATCTACAGGAAGCTGCTGCTGTGGGGTGAGTGAACCCCTTCCTGTTTCCCCAGCTGCCAGCCTGGGTTTGCTTGCAGTTTGGACAGTATTTGAAATATGTGGAACCTCAGTGAGTTTTTGACATGATTTGCCTTGGGTGCATGTGCCTTGGTTCCCCCCGCCTCCCTTCCCTCATAACCTCCTCTCCCTCCCCAGCCCCCTGCTCTGCACATCTGAGCCGTGCTGCCAGGACCTGAAGCTTCCAGAGATGGAAAGGGCTCCCTCCCCTCCATCCTCTGCCCATAGGGCAGACCTATGGGTCATATCATGTAGACAGCTTGCCCAAAACAGATTCCCAGACTTATAGTCCTCATTTTGTTTTTTACTTTGGTTTTCCCTTGAATTCCCTCACTTGCCACGAGCCCTTGGCCCTCCCAGGCCTTCCTCAGCAGAGAAAAACGTCTTTCTCCATCATCCACCATGTTCTCAGCCCCAGCTCATCAGGTCTCTGATGGAGATACAGCTCGGGGGAGCACCAGCAAGTGTCCCAGTGCAGAGAAAAGAACTCAGATCACAGCCAACGGTGACCAGCTGTAGGACACAGGGCCTGTTAGTGAGTGCTTCCTGTTCAGGGTTGCCTTTTTAGTTCTTTTTTTTTTCCCACCCCACTCAGGGTATCAGCTTGCACAGCCTGATGTTGCCTGTAGGCAAGAGACCGAGGAACTTGAGGAACTTCGGCTGGTTGACAGGGAACCCGGAGACAGTAGCTGCTCAGGTGAGGCTGGGCCAAAGTAAGTGGTTGCAGAGTGGGGAGCAGGGAAGGTGTGCTGGCTTTTGAAGTCTGCTGCGAACTTCTCACAGTGCCACATCCTTAGCAGAGACCTCAGTTCTTACTTTCCTCATTCTTCCTCCCCCACTGCATAGCCTCTGATCCATGCTCTGTCAGAGCAGGAGGCAGTGTCTAGCTGTTTCCTTCATGACTGTGCAGTAAACCACGCCAGAACTTAGGCAATAGCATAGTTTCTGTGAGCCCACAGCAGCCCACACTGCTGGTCCAGCCACATGGCCTCATTCCCAGAGCATCTCACACCGTTGGCCAGCCACGCAGCCACGTTCCCTGGAGTGGAGATCTCACATTTACTTGGCCTGGGGCCCCATTTAAGAAAAATCTCTTGGCGTTCCCAGAAATCTTTCCTCTTCATGTGAACAAACCCCCTTAATTGCACCCAGGACCTCTCCCACCACCTGAATCATGCATTCCTGGACACGGAAATGAATGTTGACACCTCTAGTCAATATCACCCTCTCTGGGGAGCTCCCCTAGAGACTTGACCTGGTAGATAGCTCAGCTGAGGTTGTGGACCTGAATTCTCCTTCACGGAGACTCTGAGAGGCCGGTTGGGTTTCAGCAGGGGTCAGGCCAGGCTTGCTGGGCAGGTGTTTGGTAAGGCTTCTGCACTCTGCATAGGAGTATCTATTAGGCCACAGTAGGTCAAGTAGGCGAGCAGAGACCAGGGGGCGGTGGTGGTGGGGAGTGTGTGTGGCATGTGTGCTGGGCACAGTATACAGTCTTTAATAGAGCCAGTTGATGTACCGCACTGGGGCTCAAAGGCACTCCTGGTGATGGACCTGGTCCATAGCTCTACCTTCACGTTCCTGGACTCCTCTGTCTTGTACCCACCAGCTATCCCCTTTAGTTCACACTGGTGCTCCTAGCCACAGCCTATTCACCGGCACCTTCATTACATAGGGAATAGTATTTCTTCCAGGTAGCTCAGGCACTGATAAAGAAGGAAAGCAGGCGGCCCCCCAAGTCCACTTCTCCTGGGTTTGCCAAAATGATTGAGATGTACATTTTATGCTTCTCTGTCCTCAGCCCCTTTCCTCTGACATGCTTTCCCATGTTTTCTAAGGTTCTTTTGTTCTGCTCATGCCACATGGCAGTTTCCTTCTGTGTCCTGGGGCTGTAGCTGCTACATTCTGACCTCTTTCAGGTGGTAGGTGGTGCCAGCAAGACAAAGATGGCTCCTTACGTGAGACCATAATGGAAAGTCTCACACATGAAATTCTCAGTTACTCCTCGATGGGTACCACTCTGAAGAAGGATGAGCCACTTCAGAAAGATCTGGATCCCCAGGAACAGGAAGCAAGGTCTGTCACCATAGTCCAAAGGCAGTCGGTCATTCAGCAGCCAGGCCAGGGCCAGGGCAGCACTTTGCAGAGTCTTCCTCTGCCCATGGTATCAGACACCCAACTCCCAGGCCTTGGAAGAAAGCGGCCCTACCCCAAGGATGGGGCTGGGCCAACTCCCAAATGTGGCTATGGTGTGAGTGACTATCAGCAACGCCGTGAGAAGCAGGAAGCAGCCACTGAGACGGGACCATCCTCAGAGAAGCCTTACATCTGCATCGAATGTGGGGTGGCCTTTGCCTGGATCTCCCACTTCACTGATCATCTCATGAACCATAGTGGTAGGAAGATCTATGCCTGCCGGGAGTGCTGGAAAACCTTCCACTTCAGCCTGGCCCTGGCTGAACACCAGAAGACTCATGAAAAGGAGAAGGGGTACGTATTGGGGAGGGCCCTTGGCTCCTATCCTGCCACTTGCAGAGCCCTTGCCAGTAGAAGGGTCAGCACGTTCCCATAACATGTTAAAGGGAACGTTTTCCCTATGCCATCCAAGCCACAGAGATGAGCCACTTTGCCTTTTGAACAGGACAGCATGTCTGCCTGGGATTCCCAGAGACCTCTCAGAGTTCTTGTACTAGAGTGACTCCCTTTAGTGTCCATGTGGATGTTAGTGTCCTTATTTCCATAGGCATTAGTGTGGCTCACAGTGCCGAGAAAAAGGTTTTGTGGCTCTTCTCTTGTGAACACACCCACGTGGGTGCACATGTGGCCTCAGGTGTGATCAGCAACACCCAAACACTGGAATATTCATGGTCTTGTCAGGTGGGCTGTGTGTCCTGCAGCTTTCTCTTAGTATCCACTGTTTGCACTCCCTAGGGCTAGTCTAGTGAACATCCTACTGCTTTTTGGCCTTTTCAAAAGTATGTGATGCCACTTTGGAATTCTTAATAGCAAGCTGCTTTCTAGTTTAACTCACATGTCTTTACGTATATGGAGTAGCTAACAACCATCACAAAAAATGCCTGGAGCCTAGTAAATCAATGCTTTCAAACTATGTATCACATCCCATTAATGAACTGTGAAATCAAATCACTGGGTGACACTGGCATTACAGGTAATGAAGTAGAATAAAATGGGTCAAAATATGGTAAAATAGATACTATTTTATGAAACTTTTCAGCCATGTATCTATAAGTGGTTGCAATGTAAATTGTATTAATGGGGTGGAAGATGGTTATTGTAATTAAAATGGGTTGAAAACACAATTTAAGGTTAATGAGATGTCTGCTTGAGTAAAGGGAACTTCTTGTAGCACATGAGGTGAAACTAGGATAACACTGTTATTTTCATTGCCTGACCATAAACCTAAGTGCTTCTTGTAGATGCCTCGTACTTCCAGTACTGCCTTTTCATTAAGCAGTCAGTACTGGAGGGATGCCCAAATCACACACATCACAGGTTGAAGGGCATTCTAAACTGTGGTCGTTGCAGTTACTTGTGTGTTGTGGTGTAGGGATCCAGCTATTATCCAGTTGCCACTCTGCACTCAGCTAGATTTTTCCCTCATTTAGACTATCAATGGCACTTACCTAGAGAAATGACCCAGTGGCCCAGAACAAGAGAGGAACTGGAACCATACGCTAGGAGCCTGACCTTGCTAGTCAGTGCTCTGAACCTTCCTATTCTCTACCCCGATCAGTTTCCCAAAGGGGATGTTCTTGCCCCCTGCCAGGGCTGGAACAGTCTCAGAGCCAGCAATAGCTTGCCTATAGTAGGGCACTTTATATTTCGTTCATTTTAGGAATGTAGATTTTCAGGTGGGTTTAGAGTAATTCACTTAATGAACGGGGTGGTAGGATAAATACACTTGAAAACCACTTGAAAATATCTGCCCAAAATTAAAAATTACGGGTGGCAGGGTCAAGACAGTGGCCGCCACCAACGTGGGAGCTATGTCAGGTCTTGGGCACCAGACATTTCCTAGAAGGTGGTGCGCTAAATTCTGGTTGGTCCTTGAATGCCTCGGTCCCACCTCCGCATTGAAGATTGCGCATGCTCTCTGGAGACAGATGCCCCAACCACAGCCTACTGGAAATGCTATTGCATGGGCGTGCACAACTACAAGTCCCAGGGAGCCACACTTGAATTAAAAAAAAATGTTTTAGAGCTGGGATGCCAAATTTAGCAATGAAAGATACAGACCAAACACGAGGAGTGATTGCTGAACATGGAGCCAGAAGTCAGCCCCGAGTATGACCCCAGAACAACCAGAAAGTGAAGTTAAAGTGGAAAGATAGGGCCAGAAAGCTCAAAGGACTAAGCACATGTCTTGCATGCAGGATGCCCACATTTGAGCTCTGGCCCCACATGATCCCCTAGCACCACTATGTATTTCCCCCAAACAAACATATAGTCTGCATTGAGAGCGCTTAATGAGTCGGAGCACAAACTTTGCATGTTTAGGTCCAATCCAAGACCACATGTTCCCCTGAGCACTGACAGGAGTGACCCCCAAACACTGAGCCAGGAGTAGCCCCTGAGCAACACCAGGTGTGCTTCCTCCTCCAAAAAACAAGCGTTTTTTTTCCCCCCATGGGTCACAGATGCTTAAAGGGCCTTGAGGACAGGTGGCCTGAGAGCTACTGCCTGTGACAGCTTGGACCCCCGGGGACTGTCCCTTAGCTTATCAGTAATGTGGTCCTTCATTCCCCAATTTCTACGTTACATCAAAAAGATTCATTCCAAGACCCACAACAGGGCAGAGATCTGATGCCAACAGAGGCATAGGTGGAGAGTTCAATATCTCTCAAGGGCAGAAGGCCACAGTAGGTGGGAGGCAGTTCCACTTTGTTTACACAGGCACATTCTAATTCCCCCACTTCAGGGAAGGCAGTGTGGGTCCATCCGGTGGAGCAGCTCCAGATGTGTTCCCTGGGTCCTGGCAAGTCAGAATGTGGGTCTGAGGCTGTTAATAGATATCCAAAGTGGGCTGCCTATAATGGGTGGCTTTTGTTAAGTGGCCACAAACCTGGGCTCAACCACTGATTGAAACACACAGAGACAGGACAGGTATTTCAAGGTTCTATTCACACACCAAAAGACACTCATATAAGGGATTCAGCACTGAAGGTTCACAAGGAGACTTGGAACCACTAGTGTCTGTGTTGCAGATATTATATACTTTTTGTTTGTTTAGGTTACAAAACAGTACCTCTTGTCTTTTTTATCAGGGGGGGGGGTCACACCTGGCTATGCACAGGTGTTACTCCTGGCTCTGCATTCAGGAATCACTCCTGGCAGTGCTCAGGGGACCATATGGGATGCTGGGAATTGAACCCGGGTCAGCCACGTGCAAGGCAAACGCCCTACCTGCTGTACTAATGCTCCAGCCCCACCTCTTGTCCTTTCACATTTCCATCTTACCTTGAGCAAACCAGATATACATAAGCAAAATCGAGCGTTTCGAACATCCTGACTTAGCCAAACATCTGTAGTCATGTGTCAGTGGCCTTGGGTCTGGCTGTTCTTCCTCCTCTTTTAGTTGGTGGGTTATCAAAAAGGACTGTATTTCAAAACGGAGCTACTTTTGTCTTTCATTTTCCCCTCTTTTAGTAAGTTAAGTCAGTCATCAGATCGATTCCTCTTCATCCTTGTTGCATTTTATCCCTCCCATAATTCTGGGAGGATCACAGGCAACAGTGGTGGTGGTCAGTGGTGGGGGTGGGGGTGGGGGTCTGCCATACATGATTGAAAAGGGGGAGAGCTTTTTCACATCCACAATAGGGCAAATGGCAGAAGCATCACCTACCCCTTAGATCCCTCTAGTTCCAAAGTTTAATTTAGCCAAAGCTTCCTTAGATCTGATTCATCCTTGCCCTTGTCCGGAGCTCCTGGGTCTGTAAGCACAGTGTAAGTTTGTCCCCAGGGCTCTTGCCACTTGTGTGAAATGTCAGCAGCATCACCCATATGTCATGGGAGTGGGTCACCATTTCCTTATTGGGCTGTGGGCCACTTGGTGAATAGCTAAGTTCAAGGTCTGCTTGAGTCTGCTTTTAAGGAGAAAAAGTATCTTTTCCCTACAAAGGAGAGGCTATGCTTGTTACCTCCTTTCAGCTTTCTCTTCGCCTTCCTTCTCAGCCACATCAGGTCCTCCTGTGAGGGGCCATAAAGTGTTTATCAGCATCAGAGAGGAAAAGACGTGGCTAATGTCAGCTAGCAACCGAAATATTAGTATGGGCATTAAATGGAGACCCTTCATTCTCCCCTCGGTATGCTAGGCGGGAGGTGGGGACACCGCCTTCACGCAGACTATTCCCACGGGCTCGTGGGAGGCCGTTGCTGAACCTCCAGCAAATGTAGTTCTTGGACACCGAGGTGAATGCACCATAAAGCCCACAGTCCCTTCTAGTAAGTGACGCAGACTTCCTGGGGCCGCCCACTGCGTGTCCCCCTGACGGCTCTTGCCTTATAGGAGTCAGAGGAGGGAGTTGGGGAGGCAAGTGTCCATCTGTTGCGGTGTTTCCTAGAACTCCCAAATGCTCTTCTCCTGGTTTCCCGGGCTCACCGGACCGCTGACCGCTCTTCCATCCGGAGACTGGCGCCTGCCGCAATTACAACCACCACTGGTAAATTTTGGGAGTTAAGAGTGGTTTCTTACAGGGACCGAAGCGATAGTACAGTGGGTAGGGCTCTTGCTTGCACGCAGCCGGCCTAGGTTTGATCCTCTGCATCCCATATGGTCCCCTGAGCATTGCCATGAGTGATTCCTGAGAGCAGAACCCGGAGTAAGCCTTGAGTACCTCCGGATATGGTCCCAAAACAAAACAAAAAAGTGGATTACGAATCAACCTGGATTACGAATCAGAACTCCCTGATTGCACCTCAGAAACCCAGCTCAGAACTCCTGGATTACCTTTAATAACCCCGCCTCAGAACCGGTTCTGCAAGTCTATAAGGTATTCGCACCCTGCTGCGCTTTTTGGGAAATGAAGTCTGGGTATCAAGCTCCGAGTCGCTGATTGGAGGACGCTTAAGACTACGACTCCCAAGAATTACCGGAACTGGTCCGGTGCTGCAGAGGTCCCGCCTCGCATCCCATTGGCCGGGTCACTCCGGGGTCTTGGGGTCGCCGTGGGTGAGGGAGTCCTGGGACATCAGCAATCTCCATCGGGCTGAGGGGTGGCCGGTCGCGGACTCACGGTGTTCGGGGGTCAGTTGAGACCCCACCGCCCTAGCGCTCTGGTCGTCTCTTACTCCCGTTGGGTGCGTGTGGCCTTTCCACCGAGGACCTTGGCGCACCCCGAATTTTGGGTCTGCTTCAGTTCAAGCCTGAAGTGATGGTTCAGAATGATCCCTGAGCTGGAGCCAATAGTCAACCTGAACACCGTCGGTATGGTTCAAAACCCACATGATATCTCCCTGTATCCCTTAGGTCCATCCTTTCTCGGAGTTCTCCTGCCCCCGTCCTGCAGAGACTCTGTTAGCGCAGCAGATGTCTGGGTGCAACTTCAGGTGCAGGGAACCTTTGGTGATGGTGGGCGTGGTCCAGGAGGAGCTGGGTCCTCCAGGCCCCCGTGCCATAACGTGACGCTCGTGATACAAGCCCCGTGTTTCCACCTGCCTGGGCTTGACAAGAGGCCTGACCTCGGTAGTGGGAATATAGGGTTTCTCATAGCCCCTTCTGCCCGTTGAAGTGGCCCTTGGATCCCCAAGTCAGTCGTTATTGCTCAGTTTCGATTCCCGGCAGCCCGCGTGGCGCGTCCTTGGCAACGCGCGACCTGGAACTACGACTCCCGGCAACCCGCGGGTCGCGCGTCAGGGTGACGTCAGGGGACTCGCCGCCATTGTCCGCGGCCGAGCTGAGGCGGTTGCCGCGTCGCGCTGCCTCCGCCATCGCCACCGCGTCTGCCTCTGCCGCGGTCTTGGAGGACGGAAGAGGCGGCGCGCGCTGGGACAGTCACGGATCGCGTGTCGATTCTTTCGCGTCCGGGCCCGGACGGATGCTCCTTGGCCGCGAGGCCCCGAGCCTCCCCGTGAGCGCTTTGGGCGGACGCCGGGATCATCGCAGCCAGCCCAGCGCGCCTTTGTCTGAAAGCCCCGCGCCCCGCCGGCCTGCCGGTCGCGGGACAAAAGCCGAGGGGCCCGGGCGACCTCGCGCAGTCGCCTGGCGAGAGGGCGGAGGCCTCGCTGCCGGCAGGTGAGGACCCTCCCGCCGCGACCCAGGGGAGGCCACGGTACCGCCGCCTTCTCCGCTCCAGAGCGCGGCTCCTGTGCGGGCTCCGCGTCCCGGGTACAGCCGCGAGCACCCGAGGTTTGGTCGCGGTCCCGGCGCCGCGGCCCGTGGTGTCCCGCACGCGGGTTTGCTTTGCTCTGCGAAGGTAAGACTTGCCCGGGTCGAGCTCTAGGACCGGGGGAAGCACATGGTTTGCACTTGACGACGCGGTTCGAACCTGCCGCCACACGGGGCCCAACGAACTCCGACTGAAGTGAGCCCTGAGACCAGACAGGGTGCCCCAGAACCCGAAAAAAAAAGGTGAAATTCACGTGAAAAAAAAAATCAGTGTGCGTCTTTTGTGTCGAATGTTCCGACGACTGCGGTCGTGCTTGTTTAATTCCCTCATATTCTTTCTGCCTCCGTGATTCCCCGGCCCCAACCGGCGACCACGCCTGAGTAACCAGTTTATGTGCTCCAGCTGGGGGAACTTGCAATGTTTGTTGTTAGATTAGACAGCAGTTTGAGACCTAATATGGCTCTGGGCTTCTAGTCCTTCCCAACACCCTTCTCTCTCCAAAAGGCCAGGCAGAAAGGGCATGAGTGAACAGGGAAGCACAAAGCAAGGGTTTTCTCCAGCTTCTGCGAAGCTTTTCACCACATATGGTCCCCTGAACCCAACCATGAGTGATCCCTGAGCACAGAACCAGGGATGTGACCCCAAAATTGTCTTAGGGCCCACACCTAGTGGTGCTGGACTGGCCAGGGCCCCGACGTCTGTGGGACTGGACTTGGGTGAGTGCAGTGCTTGCTCTCCAGTAACTGAACCAGCTCCTTACTCCAAAACTGCTTTCTTACAGCTCTTCCTCTTTATTTTCATGGATCTTCTGCCTGATCTTGTGTCTTTCTACGTTTTTCTTTAGGTTGATATTGTATTTGATTTCTGCCTGTTACTGGACTCAGTGCCTGAGGTATGGCTGCCATAAAGCCTTGGACCTCCTGGGGTGAGTTCAAGGATTTTTCCTTCTGGACCTCCCCAGCAATGATACTGTAGCTGGGGGTCGAAACTGGGGAAGTGTTGAGAACTTTGGGAGTTGTGGGGGGTTTGTTTCTTGATAATTAAAACTTAGGGGGTCGAGTGGTGGTAAAGTGGGGAAGGTGCTTGTCTTTCATGAGGCTGACCTAGATTCGATCTCCAGCGTACCATATGGTCCCCCAAACCCACCAGAAGTGATTCTTGAGTGAAGAGCCACACCCCTTAGCACCATCAGGTATGGCCCCAAAAGAAAAAAAAACACTGACATTTAAAAAACAAAACTTGTGGGGCTGGAGCGATTGCACAGCGGGTAGGGCGTTTGCCTTGCACGTGGCCGAGCCGGGTTTGATTCCCAGCATCCCATATGGTCCCCCAAGCACCACCAGGAGTAATTCCTGAAGTGCAAAGCCATTTCCTGTGCATCATTGGGTGTAACCCAAAAAGAAAAAAAAAATCCTTGCAGGCTGCAGTGATAGTACAGCAAGTAGGATGCTGACCCTGCACATGGCCAATACAGTTTTAATCCCCATTTGTTTCCCTGAGCACCACCAGATGTAAGTACTGAGCACATTTGGGTGTGGCCCCAAAGCAACACTCGGGTACAAAGAAAGAAAAGATGACTTGCTTATTTTTTTTTGTTTCTGGGGATGCTCCGGGGTTACTCCTGGCTCTGCACTCAGAAATTACTCCTAGTAGTGCTCCAGGGATTTGTGGCATTTCTTAGAAAGTAGTTGTTACCAGTCCAGAGAGATACTTGGCCTTGCATCCAGGCAATGTACTTGCCTTGCAGAGTACAGCCAACCAGTGTTCAATCTCCATACTTTATATGTGTTCCTTCTGAATACCTGAATGTGGACCCAACACCACCACCCCCACCCCAAATGAGAGAAGATAGTCATACAAAGAAGCAAAATTTCTATACGATGGTTTAATTTTCACGATTCTCACATAGCATTGGTCTGTAAAATAATGTTAAATAGTAGTGTGATGTCATTGTGTCTTTAAGGAAAGTCCTGTATTTATAAGATAGATACAATTTCCACCATTTAAGGATTTTGGTCTTTGTTCTGTGTTGTGTGATTATTTGTTGGTGATACCATGTAGGCACATTTTCTGAATGATTCACATGTGTACTTCTGGTACAAATGTTTCTTAATGAATTATTTCAGGAGCCCCTAGACTCTTGTGTAACTTTGTTCTACACATAGACAGGTCTTTATTTCCATTTTGCTGACTTTGTCACTAGAATCAGTGTCTCAGTGTCTTATCCTAATCTGGTCCTCTGATGCAGGTATTCTTACGAACCAGTCCTGGGGGATGGCAGCTGTTGACCCGTGGGCTTCCTGGGGTAAGTCAAGAGCTGGTGTCCCCATTGTTTGTGTTTGCTGCTTTGTTGTGGGTGGCTGCTCCCATTAATCATGTGCAGGGATCAGCAGTGGGAAACCAGGTTGGGATTTTAGTCCACGTCTCTGCAAAGCTTAGACAGTGATGGATCAGAGCGCTCCATTGGGGTATAAATTATTTGTGATATTTTCCAAGACATTGCGCATGAGAATAAACATGTCATCACTTAGGTATCAGGTCTAGAAAGACTGAACAATTTTGCTTCAAATAGACTGCCTCAGAAAGGAATATGTTGTCATTTCATGTGTCTCTTCTCGATCCTAATTTCCTTCTCTATATAATAAGAAAATGTGTCTCTTTCCTTAACTCAAGAGGGTGGGCTAGGGGCTGGTACAGTCCCTCCAAAGGGAAACACTTAAGGCAGGGAGAATGGCTTTCGTGACTTCAGTTTTCCTCCCCCAGCTCTGTGTCCTCAGGATTCTGCCTGGAGCATAGAGGAGAACCCTGACGAGGGGAGGAGGCCCACTAGGATCCCACCAGACCAGGTCCAGGTGAGATGGGGCTTCTGCTTTTTCTTAGAAAACTGCCCTATGCTTGAAGATGTTTAGCTTTCCCCTAGCCATCTGAATTGGTGTGGTTTCTTGGTTTACAATAGAGTGTAAGTAGTAAAGAAATCAGGCAGAAACGATCACTTCCTAAGCATACACAGGGAGATAGTTTTCCTGACTAATTGTCAGACAAGCCTATATAATTTGAGCTCAGTGGACAAAAGGGAGCTGCCTGATCTAGCAGCCCTCTCTTTTTTCTCCTCATCTTCTTTTATCTCTCAGTGCTGAGTCAGGTCGACAGTGTCTTAGGGACCTGTGTGTTTTTTGGAAGGGAACAGGGACAGGTGCAAAGCCATGTCCTGAGGATCTTCAGTCCTTATAAGATGGTTTAGACCTCAGGTTCAGGACAGAGAGAGACTGAAATGATTTGGGCAGTAGGACAGAGTCTACATAGGGGCTCCCAGGACAGCCAGGATACTTTTCTTGAGGAGAGAGAAGCTGTCTGGGAGACTCAGCTTACCAGAGCCAAGAAGTGAGGAGGTGCATCAGCCAGATGGGTATGACCCTGTTTAGCAGGGTGGTGACACGTAGGTACATGTGTGACCTGTGCTCTGGGTGAAGTCTGATCCCAGTTGGAATTTTAGATTAGAAAAGCCAGGACAAACCTCGCTAGGCCTGAGTTCTGCTTCAGAGATGGGGTTTCATCTTGGTAGTATGGAACCCGTAAGTGTTGGTAGCAGGATTCATCAAGGTCTTCATTGTGGCTGGGGAGAGGCTCCTTGCAAGACGGTGAGATGGGCTCAGAGACCAGGCTCGTGTTTTGACCTTTGATTAGGGCTGCCTGGAAGCAGGATCTGAGAGGTAAAGTTCCTTGAAAAAGGACTCTTGATTATCAGGACACGAAGATGACAACCAAGAGAAAAGAATAGTAGCATAGTTGATGTTAGGGACATGTCACATGCCCAACTTCCTTACTGGAGGTAGCCACTTAAGTATTTTTAATCATTGTTGAAGTGTCTTTTTGCATACTGTAAAGTTCACTGCTTCCAGAGAGGGGGAGAGGGATGAGGGAAACTGGGACCATTGGTGGTAGGAAATGTACACTGGTGAATGAACAGGTGTTGAAACATTGTATGAGTGAAACCCAATCATAAACAACTTTGTAACTGTGTATATCACTGTGATTCAATTTAAAAAAATTTTTTTTAATTCAGTGCTTCAAAATACAGTACTGGGGCAGGAATGAAGCACCGTATCTCTCATGTCTGAGGTTCTGGGTTTGAATTTCACACCCATCAATTAAATACAGCTCAGTAGTTCTTAGTTAATACTAGTTCTTAGTATAACTTAGTAATACTCGCGCCAGCAGTATTTTTTTCTAGAATGTTTTTATCACCTTGAAAAGAAGCCATATATCTATTAATCACTTTTTCATTTTGGGAGGTGAGGGTGGGGAGATTGGGCTATAACTAGGTGTGCTCAGGGGTTGCTCTAGACTGTTCAGGTGTTACTCTTGGCAGTGCTGAGGTACCTTACATAGTATAGGGTATTTGAAAAAGGTAGTGGGTTACAGAATAAGTGCCTTAACCCCTATACCATCTCTCTTACCTAGTTGTCACTTTCTGTGGCAACCACTAATCTCTCTACTCTGGGTATCTTGTAAAGGGAATCATAGAATATATGATCTTTTGTGTCTAGTTGCTGCCATTTAGTCTGTTTTCAGTGGTTGGAGCCTATATTGATTTTTTGTTGTTGTTGTTTTATGGTGGGGAGATGTGCAGACCCAGCAGTGTTCACGGCTTACTCCTGGCTTTGCAGTCAAGGATCGATGCTGAAGGATCTCAGGGGACCCTGTGTGGTGTTTGGTTTAGAACCCAAGTTCACCAGGCGCCTACAAGGCAAGCACCCTAACCACTGTGCTGCTGCTCTGGTGCTGTGTATTTTTCTTTCTGTGACTCAGAGGCGGCCATTTTAAATTGTTTCAGTTTCTTGGAACCATCGTGATATTTCTAAGAAATTTTTTCCTTTTGGTCTTTATCAGGTTTAGTCTGTAAATTCCCTGTTATGAAAGGTAAAAGTAATTTCCTTGTGTGGCCAGAGCAGTGGTACAGCAGGTAAGTGCTTGCCTTGTCCACAGTCAACCAAGGTGCAATCCCAGGCATCCTATTTGATCTCTCGAATACTACCAGAAGTGATTCCTGAATAGTCAGAATTGTCCCTAACATCGCTGGATGTGGCCCTAAAACCAAACAATTTCATTGCTTTTTATCTGTTATTTCTAAGTTGAAATAAGCAAATGTGTGATACTATAAAATATTAATGTTTCTGTGCCTTCTCCATTGTAAAAAATAAAAAAAAAAACAGCAACCCAAAGCTAAGAGTTTCACAACTGACTGGTGAAGTGCATCATGAATGTGCTGTCGTGGGGATTCAGAAAGCCCTGAGTCACATGCCATGGGTGTGCTTGCCTGGCATCAGAATTTGGGGGAACTGATAATTGCTACTGTACAGTCATTTTTAGATCCTGTAACAGACTGAAAGATGGGCCATGAAGCAATCTTTGGGAAATAAGTTAGTTGTAATCAAACACTGAATAATCCCTGGTAGCTGTTATATGCTGCCATTAATTTACCTGAGGTTTTCTGAAAAGTATTGCATTAATACCAAGAAAACAAAAACAAATATTTAATGAATAACATCATCCTCCAGTGTCTGAAGAGTTGTGACTTCTGAAACCATGTTCCTGGCCCTCTTACCACACTCACTTTGGATTTTTCCCTATGGGAAACTCAAGACTTGAATCGTGAGTTTTGTGTCTTCGGAAATGCAAATGAAAGCCTCGTATCCTCTATACCCTCTAAATTAAATACTTGTTGAAATAAAGCATTCATCTCTGAAAACCTCAAATCCCTTGTTATCTGAGTAGTCTGTTCTTGGGAACTCAACGGATAGTAATGTAAGGGGGACCCCAAATGCCATTATTTTGAGAAGTACAAAAAGTCGTGTCCCAGCCTACCTAAAAGTATATCTAGCCTCCCCAAATAGAACATTCACCCCCTTTCACAATCCATTTAGGACTTCTGCATGATAAATGTATGGCACGTATTAAGCACCCTTGATACTTTGCACCCATCCTTGGTTTTCTTGACAATGTACATAGTTGATGTCCTCTGCAAAGAGCTTGCACTAACATAAAAAATCAAATTCTAAAGATACCAGTGAGATCTTCTGGATTTTCCCAGGTTTTATGAAGGGGCCAACTATTAAGAGTTTGAAGGAAGGTGATAATTCAGGAGAGACTTTTGAGTTTTTCCAGGTGAGCTGAGACCCGTAGCTGGAGCGATATCACCAGTAGGCACTTGCCTTGTTTGAGTTTGCGTTTGATTCCCCCCCCCCCCCCCCCCCCGCATGAGCACCATCAGAAGTAATTCCTGAGTTCAGAGTTAGGGGGAAGCCCTGAGCATCGCTGGATGTGGTCCCAAAAAAAAACAAAATCTAAGACTCGGATCAGTGCCCTATACTTTCTCTCCCTCCCTCAAAACTTAGTGATTTCAACATTTGTCTGGTGTTAGATTCTAAGACATGATTTTTAAATACCGAGATTAACACTTTCACATGTGTATTAGACATGAGAATATTTACAAGGATTTGTGTGAAGCAATTCTTCCTATCAGATGATTATCAAGAGAGGCTTGGTAGGGCCCAAGCAACATATAGCAGGTAGAGCATGTGCCTTATAGCCAACCTGTGTTTGATCTCCAGAATCCCATATGGTTCCCCGAGCTCTGCCAGGAGTGATCCCTGAGTGCAGAGCCAGGAGTAAGCTCTGAACATAGCTGGAGCTGGCCAAAAAAAAAAAAAAAAAAAAGACCTGAGAGCTAGCTCAAAGGGGTGGAGCACATTTGAGGAACTACTAGTTCCATGCTTGGCATCATATGCCTCTTCCTACGCTCTACCTCCAGCACATCTAGTGTGGTGCTGGTAACCCCAGAGCACCTGTAGGCCTGAGCAGTGCCATAGGACCTGGTACCAATTAGGACCACACCCATGAGTCTCACCTGGAGTACCCACATCCTCAGCACTGCTCAGGAGGCTCTGTGAAGGACAGTTAGGGCTGGGGATGCAGCTCAGTGAGAGCACATTTGCCTTGTAGACGGAGATCTGGAATCCAAACCCCGGTTTGGCCAAGAAAAAATCTGAGATTTCAAACAAGAGTTAATTACCTTTGGGCAGAATGACTTGTTGACTCCCCTTTAGTGGGCTCCTGACCCTGAAGCAGTATCAGAATAGTATATTTCCTCTCCAAGACATCCAGAATCTGTCTTGGCTCCTACGCTGGTGATACTAGATACTTCTCTCATTATCTTGCCTCTGTTTCACATTTTCCTTTGTATTTCCGAGGCCTCGGTGAATTGTGGATCCTGGCAGGGGCCTCCTCACTGGAGGTTGTTTTATCTTTCTGCTTGGCAATTTGTGGACCCTTTCAGTTTGTACAGTTTAATAGAATCTCCGATTCTGCACTTTGTATTTCCTTTAGCTTTTTGGATCAAGCCCAGTGATGTTCAGGGGTCACTCAGGCACTCAAGAATCACTCCTGGCGTGCTTGGGGACCATATGGTATGGCAGGGATCAAACTGCACATGCCAGGCAAACTCCCTACCCGCTGTACTATCACTCCAGTCTCTTGCAGTTTTTTAAATTTTTCTCTCCCTCCCCTTTGGTGCTGGAGATGGAACTCAGGGATTCACTTGAAGAAAGGGACACTGCTGCTGAATCACACCTCCAGTTCTAATTCTGGAACTCTTTATGACAAATTCCATAATTAGGGAAATAAATGAAAAGTGACCAGTAAGTATGGTCAACACTACTTTGACTTAACATTGAATAAGCATGGTCAAAATTACTCTGAGTTAAGGATTCATCATTTTTGCTTTATCCTTTTAATAATATAGTCCCCAGTCACATTCTCTTCTCACAGTTTCTGATAACAACTGTTCATGTTT